GTCACCAAATCTCCCTGTTTATAGTGTCTGTCTTTGGTGGGACCTAACTGTGTCTCTGGGTGTCTCATAGACCCTTTTAATTTTCTCCAGATTGGGGCAGGTCTATTGGCACACTCCTCAACCTACCTGATGTTCTCTGTGTGGAGGAAGGACTCTTCCACCCTCTTGCCAAGCTCACCAATGGCCTGCTTCTGGAGGGAGCTTTGCTATTGCTCCTGTTTACCTACTGAAGGTGGGTAAACAGGAAACTTTATTCCTATATTAGGGGTAAAGTCACCTTGATGATAGAAGCCTGATGAATTCTTCTGTTGGGGTGAGGGGCAACTGAGTCTCCCCTCCACACAGCATGGTTAATCTACTGCAGTCCACGGTTCTGGAGGAGGTGTGGGAATGACAGCAATAGTAGATCCAGGAGGTATGGGGCCCCAAAGAGCAGTGGTGGGACTGTGGGGGTGCACTGCTGTCTGGAGTTCCTAAGTCCTGATGTGGGAATCCAGGGTGGCAGGGGTCATAGGAGGGGCCTGGGTCTTGTCAGGTCCTGTACTCAGAGCTGGATGGAATCCCTAGGTCCCACAAGGTGGTCTGCTGTGATGGCAGGGGTCTCAGGTTGGGCCTGGGTCTTACCCAGCCCCACATGTGCTGATGGCTGGAGTTAAACTTTGAATTAAAAAAAGACAAAAAGAAAAAGAATTTGGCACAAACCAGGCAAGGTGATGTGATCCCAGTGCTCTAGGGGGGCTGCAGTGGAAAGCTACCAAGTTCAAGCCCAGCTCTGGCATATTAAGTGATTTAGCAAGACCCTACTTTAAAAGAATAAAAAGAATAGGCTGGGCATGTAGCTCAATAGAAATGCTGAGATCAATTCATCCTTAGTGTTGCTGAGAGAGAGAGAGAGAGAGAGAGAGAGACAGACAGACAGACAGACAGACAGAGAAGTGGAAACTGCTTATGCTAAATGACTAAAACTACTGACCTGCATCTTAATCCAAATGCTCAGGCCATGTCCTGAGGATGAGGTTGGCTAAACTTCACCCAAGGGTCATATTCAAAGGCAGTGGAGCAGCTGCCCATGCAGAGGCCCCTTAGCATCTGTGCTGTGGCTGGCAACCCAGGTGTCAGTGAGGCCAATGCCAAAGTCACAGCCTGGCCTCTCCTGCATCCCTGTGGGCAGAAACAATCTGGCCCCTGAGAATGGGAGGCATCCCTACAGACACAGAGTCCCCAGCAGAGTCAGACAGTCACTTCCCTGCAGAGCCAGGCCAGCCAGCCAGCATTCTTCAGGGTTTATCTGAGGCTCAGAAGGGCCAGCTGGAATCCACACTTTGCATGGCCCATGAAGGTCCTGAGATCCTGAGGGACAGGGGCTGGTAGTGCTGTCTGGCTCTGTCAGCCTCCAGCCTTGGCCAGCTCCCCAAGCCTGTGGGTACTTGACTCACCTTTTAAAACAGCAGCAGCCACGCTGTGTGCACAGCGAGCCTCGCCCCACAGCAACCACAGAGAAATCTGGGTTCCAGGGCTATGCAGGATGGTCCAGGAGGAGATCTGAATTCGACTCTCAGGCCCAACCTTGGGGATCATGTTTCCCAAGTGATGAAAAGAACCTTCTCTGTGTCCCATCTCTAAGGGCTAAAATCGGTGGCCATCAGCCACATAGCACCTGGGCCATCTCAGCTGAGCTGTGACATAATAAAATGTCTTGCATGGGTCCCCACAAAGCTCCTAGGGACATTTCTCCTTGGAAACCAGCACTGGCCCCAAGGGATGAGGTGAGGCCACCAAAAGTGTGTTTGTGAGTCAGGCACCAGCGATGTCTCTCACCACACAGACTGTGGGGTCAGCTTTGTCCTGTCCCAGAGGCCAGCCCCAGAGTCTTGTGCCCAGGGAAACCCCAAAGCCACCGCACTGCCCACACTGGCTGTCCTCTGCCATTCTCTCTCTCTCTGTCTTGCAGGCAACAACCAGTACTCTGAACCTGGGAAGGGAGAAAACCTTAAATGGGAGTGAAGGAAAGAACAGGAAAGCATTGGTGGTCACTGTTTCTTAGGAAAACTCAAGGTTGCAAACCGAAGGCCCCAGGTGGCTGGGATGAAAGGGCTCCCATGTTCTATCTGAGGTATTTTACTAACATTCAAATGGGAAGGATGACGTGAGGATCCGGTTGACTCCTGTACTTCTGAGGCTGCACGCTGCTAGCCCTCATTCCCCGGGCAGCAATGAGCTGAACTGAGTGCCCATCCCCTGCCTGCCTGGCATACAGCTGGCATCTTCCTCAGAGCCTAAGGCCCCACCATGCTCTGCAGCCTTTCTGCTTTGTACTTCACTTGTATGTGATCCTCTTATTCTAACTTACGTTTCCTTTAGTACTTCAACTGAGCAAATGACATGCTGCATTTAGCGTCCAGCTTCTTCCTTGAGCTGCAGCAACAACATTATGGTCAAAATTCACAGAGCTTGTCAGTGAAATTCTCATGAATTTAAAACCACAATGAGACTGACATCAAATCTGTGTCCTCCTGAAAGCTAACTACTATTGCATTACTGTTTTGCTAAAGAGCACAGATATCCATACTTAGGATTATGAACAAAATACAGAAGTAAGGGATTTAGGGGAAGAAGTAGGGGTCAATGGAGAGCCAAGAAAGCGATACCCATTAATATTTAGGACAACAGAACTTGCTCTCACCATCATTAAGTCTGTCTATTATTAAAACTCAATCTTCATGATACTCTGTTCATTCCATTCAGGTTTTTCCGGAGCATGGAAACCTAAGGCATGTTTCTTGGCTTTTCATCTTGTTTCCCCATATGTGCCAGCCGTGAAACATATGTGTGCTAATTCACCAAACCAAGAAGTATGCATGGTGGACAGTTCCTGGAGCAGGACTGCTTGCTCAGCAGATGGTCCATTTTAACACACAGCTGTCTTCTGAATCAGTCTTAGAATATATCTCTAATGTCTTTTTATTTACACACTTCTCCTCTGCTTCCCTTCCAGCTCCTTAATGAAAGCATTACTGGCTTTTATCTTTATATTTCTTTTTATTAGGACACATTTGTGACACACGATCACACCCATCAAGAAGAATTTGTCCATGTACGTAAAACATGTTAATTGTTTCTGACATCCTCTCCCCCTTTTCCCCCCCACCTCCACCCCTTTCACTCTTAGGAAAGATCGATCTCCTTGTTTACATTATCTTTTGTTTTGCTCTTTAATTTTTAGTACTGTGGTTTTCCCATATAAGTGAAAACTTGATATTTATCTTTGTTTGTCTCATTTGTTTATTTTCATATCCTTAGTTTAGAGAATTTCTCAAAGTATTGTGGAAATTATCTCGGCTTTCTAATATCAATATATCAAGTTAAAATATTTTATCTCACTTAAAATACACCTTTAAGCTACTTTTCTGATTTGATCTTATCACCTCATGGAACATATTGCACATATTTCTCTGAATAACATACGTATTTGTTTTAAAATTTCCATCAAATTTCAGCTATGTCCCTGAGTGGACCCTTGATATGCTTCTCTTACAACAATGCCTTATTTCATAGTATTTTTTTCTTGTTTATATTTGCTTGTTCTTAAGGGTAGGTCTAGATTATTAATTTCTTTAAAGCCTATTTTAATTCATTCTCAATAATTTTGTTGCTAATAGGGATATTAGAAATATTTATGTGAGATCAGCATGAAGAAAATATTTCCATAATTGACAGAAATAATACTCTTATACCCTACAAAAAGAAATGTTTCTGCATAAGCAATAATGAAGTGTATAAAAAACATTATAAAATACCTATTTCAGACTACAGACAGAAATTTTAAAAATGTGAAATAGTAACTCTACAAAGGGGAGAAAAGAAGCAATAAGTCATACGTAAGTAACTTCTCCCAAGATACTTCTATATCCAGGCCACAGCGCTATGGTAGAGAACACCACACAGCAAATTGGACATAAAACCTAGTCCATAGAAACTGAAAACATGCCCACATAACCTACCCATAATATAGCAGAGAAGACAACAGACAGTCTTGGTAAGGTATAAATAATGGAATATACTAATTGTTGGAGTCCAAAGAATAGAGGTGAAGAGAGGTTAGAAAACAATTTATTTGAAAAAAGTATAGCAAAATTATGGCTAGTTTCCAAATTACAGAAAAATATGTGTATTTTTAAAAGTATGTATTTTTTAAAAAAGAAATCAACAATAGCCAAGCAGAAGAACACAGAGGTAAATCCTCCCAAGGCATACTTTAAACACAGGAATAAATGCAAGAGATAAGCAAACAAGCACAATCTCAGAAGGTCATTTCATTAAAATGGCACATGGCTAGGGTTGGAGGTGCATTTTAGTAATGCAAGATTTCTGGAATGCAGAGGCAGGAGGATTGCAAATTTGACCCTAAGCCAGAGCAGCTTTTTTTATGTCTCAACATAAGAAATCAAAAGAACTGAGTAGGTTTCTCAGGATGAAGACTGCACTTCAATCCTCAGTATTGAAAAAAAAAAAAAAAACAGAAGATGCACAATACAAAATTTCATGAGAATAATCACCCATGTCTCTTTAAAAACATTTAAATAAGAAAGATAAGATAGTAAGTTTTAATGTACTAAAGGTATTAAAGGTAAACTGGGCCCGGTGGTGCACACTTATAAGCTTAGCAATCAGCAAGCTGAGGCAGGAAGATCTCTGAAAGTTTCAGGGTTCATAATATGTACAAAGCTAGCCAGAACTAGAAAGTCAGGCTTCACATCAAAAATAAAGATAAAAAATAAGATATTTAAGGAAAAACCTGGCAAACTCTAGTTCCAAATCCAGTGCCAACATATTCCAGTAATGAACATGTAATATAGACATTCTTCCAGAAGATAAGACTTGAGAAAGTCAATCATCAACATATTTAAAGAACTCTGGGCCTTTAATGACATGCTTTATACAGAAAGAAACTGGATCGAAGATAATAGATTAAGAAGCCCTGAAAATGGTAAATATCTTACCAGATATGAAGAAGTTGTGACGCCAGTGAGAAGGCAGGGCCGCCATGATGGAGTCAGTGAGGTTATGAGGAGAGGAAAATCCCTAGAGCGCCTCTTTCTCTCTCCACTGTACGGAGACACAGCAACAGGAAGGCTCTCTCTGCACACTGTGAAGCAGGGTCTTGTGCGAATTGAAACTCTCTGCACTTTGACCGTGGACTTCACAGATTATTGAACTGTGAAAAGGAGCCTCTGCTCTTTACGTCTTGAGAAGAAAGTAAATCAGAAATGGTACCAAGAACCTGCACCACACGGTCAACCAACCTGTCCTAACTGACATTTGTGAAATCGTCCTCCAAACATTTCCTTCACAGGGATAATTTACTGTTTTAGACTACATTCTAGATTATCAGCCAGTTTTTAATAAATTTTAAGAAGATTTAGAACATACAGAAATTTCTTTAAAAAGTTAGAATTGAAGTGAAAAATTCAAAATATACACATATTTGAAATATTTCCAGCTCTTTAGCTGTTATACTAAGATGCTGAAAAATTAAAATAATTGATTAAAAGATAATTAGCAAAAATAGTTACTTAAAAGGATAGTTATTAGCAATATTGTTATTTTGTACTGAGCTCATTATCCTAGTAATCAAGCACCAACCACATAGTTATAAATTAACTGACTGCATCGTTCTGCTGTTCTGTAATGTGTCATCCCCCCACCTTAGTGACCTGTGTGCAATGTCAACTTTTGTTCCCCTTGTAAGAGACAAATGATGATGTGTCAACCATTGTTCCCTTTATGAGAGACAAATGTTCCTGGAATTGGCAGATCAAGGACTATGAACTGGCTAACCACCCACTGTGAAATGCCTCTGACCTCAAGCAAAGGGGAACAAAGGCCCACCTTATTTCTGTTTCTCATCACTATGTACTTAATGATCAATGAGCTGATCATAAGTGAACTATAAAAATCAGTCAAAACTCTAACTCAGTTGCACAGCTTTGAAAATTCCATCTGCACTGTGTCGCTGGGCCAGCTAAAATAAAAGTGCTTCTTCCTAAAAACGACGTCATTCTGCCCCATCTTTTCCATCTCAGGGGTTTTGCCCCATTGTTCATCTCAGGGGCTTTTTGGGGAAGTACAACAAGCCCATTAAAAACAGGGATAAAATCCACAGTCCAAAGAAAAGGCTGCATTTAAAACTATAAAATAGTTGGAATTAAATGAAAATACAAAATATGAAAATCTGTGAGATGCTATTTAAGTTGTGAGTAAATAGACAAATATAACATCGAATTGAAAAGAAAAAATCAGATTACTGATCCCAGCTTCCAGTTTGGGACACTTCAAAAAGAAAAACCAGTCTTCAAGGTAACAAAAGAGAAAATATTTAAAAGATGGAAGCAACACCACTGGACACATGGAAAATGGATAATCAAAGGGACAAAAATAAATAAAGTGAAGATCTGCTTTCTCAAAAATGTCCATAAAATTAATAGATTTCTAGGCAGAATTATGAAGAGCAAAGCAAGAGTACATACATCATAACTCCAAATTTACAGACATCCAATGAACAGTCAGGAAACGTTATGGTATAAGCTATATGCAATAATAATGAACAGCTTAAATCAAATGCAACAACTTCCTGAAAGGTACCAACTTCCAAAGTAATTAAAAAAGAACGAAATAGCAGGCCATCCATGACAGCTCCAAAGGAAGCCCTGTGACCAGCTGTACGGCCACCTGTCGCTTGACATCAGGAAACACTTCAGCCAAAGTGTGTGAAATTACTCTCTTCACCATAGTGGGCACCAGGCAGTGAGTGAAAGTGAGCTGCCCATGCTGTGATCTTTTCTTCATCTTTCAAACAAGGGCATCTTTCTGCAGAGTAACTGCGAGCAGTGAACGAGATTCTACAAGTGAAATCTCTAGCACAACAACGGATACAAGTAATGTTTTCCCTCTTCCTACTCCCTTTCTCATTTAAAAAATAATTAACTTCTGCATGTCAAAATCACGTGAAGGACACCACAGGAATCACTATGCAACTTTCCTCAGAAAATTTCAAACCCCAGATTAGCACTGAGTGAAATTAAAAACCATTGTGGGTGATGTTACCCAGGTTCCTGTGTGTACGAAACTCAAAGGCACTGCAGTTCTGATGAGTATTAGATTCCGTCTCCTGCCTGAGCACATCTTTTCATGTGTGTGTGCTCAGTCACTCCCCTTCTCTTCTCCACGTTTTTACTTCAGGAGTCAAAGACCTTCCAACTGCAACTGGTGGAACTAGGTTAACTAAGAAACTTCTTAAAAAGGACTTTACTTCTTAGGAGAGTAAAGGTATTTTCCTTAAATTCTTTACTTTTTAGCACCTGTGAGGTTGAGTTAAAGCATGTATCATTCTCTGTCAGGTCACCAAATAATGATTTAAAGTCAATTTCTGGTCCTGCTCCTCAAGAATCTTTTTCATTTCTATGAGGATGAATGAAATTACCAACTTGATCCTCTGAATACACTTGTGAATAGTGTCCACCCTGTAACATGCCTCACAGTTACTTTATAGAAATCAATATATTTGGATAAAATTGTCTTCAGGTAAAAAGTACAGTCAGACATCACAGAATTATAAGACTAAACCTAATGATTAGGAGTTGTTTATGTCTCTGAACCAATCTGTCTTTATTCCACAGTTTGCAAATTGAATATTAATTTGGTTAGCTTGTTCAAAAGATTAAATCAGACAGTTAAAATGAAATGTTTAGTTTCTCTTAGTTCATTTAAAGAAAAGTTTTGGGCTAATATCATTTGGAGAATTTTTTATGTCTGTATCTTCTGCTATGAGTAACTACTTTGAGGATAATATGTAATATATTAACTACTGTTATTGTCGTATTTTATTTTAGTTTTATTTTTTCATATAATAAAAAAATCTAAGCTATAAAAAAGATTTTAGTATTTATATTTCATACTATGGTAATTCAAGAAATTTGAAGACTACCTAAAAATACAGCAAAACCTTTCAAAAGGTAAAACAAGCATACAAACAAAAAATAAATCTGTAACTGTCTTCTTAAATTCTATGAGGTATTTCATATCAACCAATATTTAGTGATAATCAAACATTGGAAATATGTTAAAATAGCATTAACTCTTCCATTCCAGAACAGATATAAGAACAAAAATATCACTGCATGCTGCATGAAGGCCATGGAATTTTATATACAGATTGACCCTGAATCCCTTCCCTCGAATATAGCTCAAAGTTATGTGTTTTTTTCTTGAATTTGCAGATGAAAATGTAACTCACAGCATAGTTTACAGGAAGATTTGTCAGAAAATTAGTCCCACTAATGCCGTCCTGTCAGAAGCCACCAACTGAATGAAAAGCAAGACAAATGGACAAATAAATTTAATCATTCCTATTTCTTTTTATTTTATAGCATCAAGTAAACATTTTAAAATTGTATTTACTGATTTGTAATACTACACTTTATTCACTGAGTTCAACCAGCAAAAGCATACACACACACACACACACACACACACACACACACACACACACATGCACAGAAATGGATGAATTCCAGTAAGGAATCTATGCTTAATAATAAATCAAGAAAAAGTTCTGAAACAGGAAAGGCAAGAGAGTATGAAAAAATATGTCAGTGATAGGAGCTGAAGAGCCGACCACTAGTGTCCAGCTTCACAGAGATTTTACCTGTGTGTACAGAAAGACTTCACTTTTCCCCATCAGCCAACATACAGCCTTTCTTCAAAACTTGTCCTCTAGATTTGAAAGGAATACGACATTGCTTCCAGAATAAATCTGTGTCTTTACTAACTTTTTGCTGTGGTAACATTTGCTAGTTTTCAATTGTTTTTTGAAAGTTGGATTTCTAAGACACAACTCTATTATGTATTTTCTTCTCAGTTGTCTCATCATGTGATACATTGATCAGTGTCATAAATCACATTTCTATCTGAAGCTGTAAATATCAATGTTGATGCAACTATGTGTGCCTCTGAGAAACACATGAGAACAGCCTGGTGAGTCTCTCACACTAACAATTCATGTTGCTTTTTGCTTTCTTCTTCTTCAAAGCTTAAAAGTCAGTTTGGGGAATGAATACTTTATTTTGTAATAATTAAATGAATAATAACAAAATGGCAAAAAAAATTTCCACATTTTCTGAACTTCCAGAAATAACCAACAGCGGCATGATAGCTGCCCATTTTCATTAGTGTTAGGAGGTCCAGGACAGTTTGCTGTATGTTGTGCTACATGTTAAAAAGAATGGAACAGTTGTGAAGAAAAAAAAAGAGAAACAAAATAAACAGTAAACAACCTTATTGCAAGACTTATCACTGAGTAAAAATGATGAATTCGTATGCTATTGGTTTAACAGTAAATACCCTGACTGAACAGAAAGATGAAAATGACTCACTTCTATGGGACAACTGAGGACTGATGAGGACGCAAACGTGAGTCAGCACTGAAAGGCCAGTCTTTGCAACAACGGGAACAGAAAAGTGGACGTCCACGTGCAGCAGAAAACCACAACACTCTGAGCCACGCCTCTCTTCACTTAAAAACCAACACAAAACACACCATAGACACAGACATAAAACCCGAAACGTGAAAAATTCTCTGGGAAACACCGTGAGTGCGGGTGAGCCCAACACTTCTTCCATACAACATCATGAACACAAACCAGAAAAGTACATCCTGGACTCCACCAAAATTAAGCACTTCAGCTCTTGAAAGATATTATTAAAATAAAGGAGAAGAAACCAGGATCTTGGAGGAAATACTTGTAAAGTATATGTCAGACAAAGGGAATTTATCTAAATATATGAGAACTTCACAAATTCCAATAAAAAGAAAACAAATTAATTTTTAAAATTAATTAAAATAGAAAGAACCTTAGAATAGAAGACATATGCTTCTCAAAGAAGCTCCAGAATGATGCCAAACATTATTTAGTCATCAGATGAATGCAGATAACATCTACACCTAAGAAAATAAGTTACTAATAAACACCTATTAGAATTGCAAAAATTACAGACTGACTGCAGGCTTCCTGGGAGTCAACAGGAAACAGAACTTACACACTGCTATTGGGAATGTAAAACAACGTCATTATTTT